ATATATATGTAAATAAATATAAATATAAATATATATATATATATATATATACGTTTGACACCAAATAGTAGCGCACCTTCTCCTCGTGCGGCAGAGGACAGGCTTTGGTAATGAGCGTGGTGCAAGACTCAATGTACTTCTGATAGTGGCCGCATCTCCGTTGGCAGTGGGCTAGGTCGGATCGGATGTCCAGTTCCAGTGAACGCCACCCATCTTGAACGTACTGCGGAGTGAGGTATTACATATTAAATGGGTACGGATTGGAATGAATTCTGAAACGTATTGGAACTGATTTTCCAAAGGCTCTGATGCAGTTAAAGCAATCCATGATATACACGAACAATCGAACAACCCCTCGACTACCCATCGAGCCATGTAAAAATTGCAAAAACGTAGGATACATTCTAGAGTGTACAGGGAGTGTTGTAGGGGTTAAAACGTAGGGTGTGTGTACATAAGTAGGCGTGTAGAGCTTGTAGTCGGATACAGACAGTTTATGTACTAGGAAGCATATCAGTCCCAATGTACTACAGAGTGAATGATTGAAGTAGGCAGGGGGTGGAAGGGGCTATTAATAGACATTCAGACATGCACGTTATACCTCACTGTACATACAAGCAAGATACAAGCGTGGCAACGGCAAATAAAACACACATGTCAACCAACCCACACGCTTGGCATACTGTGCAAATAAGACATCCACACACACACACAGAGGAACAATGTGCACAAACATGGAACATGCACATACACACCCCACACACGTGACCATAGTACCCACCTGCTCGCAAACGATGTACAGGTGCTTCTCAGCTTCGCCGTAGTTTTTTCTGTAGAACAACATGGCTGCCACATCCCTGTGCACCAGATTGGCTCGGCGATTGCGTTTGACAAAGTTGTAGTTCTCGATGGCACTTAATGCCAACGAGATGTACAGATCATCGAAATGGGACCGGTACCGCAGACTGTCAATCAAGGACAGATCAGTTATGTTCACCTGTGCGGAATGGCGTTTAAGAAAGTTAAGAAAGGGGTAAGTATATATTAATACAGTATCATTGACACTTGAGGCTATGCTCACTTGGGTGAGTGACGTTCAATATGTTTCACGGCGGCAGACGGTGGGTGTACTTGTACAATATCGTTGTTGAGGTATCAGTTATGGTCACCTTTATAATGAGATTCGTGGTGTTTACACGCGTATATACTCATAGATGCACACTACAGTATACAGACGCATATACACCTCAATACATCGTCAGCACTATACACATGTGTATATACACAGATACAAATACACACAAACGCACACACCATTTCTGGGTTGCTTCAAGGCTTGCTCAGCCACTTCAACGCCACTTCCTTGGTGATCTCATCTATTGAACGACTACTGATATACTCCCGCGCACATATATGTACACAAATGGATAGAAAGGGATACACACACACGGGCATAAGAACATATCCTACACACACAAACCCTACCCTAATCAATAAATCTGCACCCTTCTGCTTGCTTAACCGCTTAGTCGGCCTCTTCCTGACTGATCGCATCCGTAGATCTACAGAGATACCCCCACACATACATAGCCATCTACCTACTCACATACATAGCCATCTACCTACTCACATACATAGCCATATACCTACTCACATACATAGCCATATGCCTATGAGGCTATACACCATACCTTAGTCAATAGTTCTGCGCCCTTCTGGTTCTCTTCCATAGCTTGCTCAGCCAAATGGTCCGCCCCCTCCTTGCTGATGACATTCATCAGACTTTCTCTCCGCCTGCGAGTGAGTGTGGGTGGGTCCTCCTGGTGACAGATAAAGGACAGTATGTGAGACGTTGTGGTGCACTGAGGTGTGTGCAGAGTGGTATTGAGTATATACTCGTGTTTGTATTAGGATAGGCATCACCTGTTTTCACCCATTTAATGTTAGGAGACTGCAAGATCAGAGGTTAGACAACTCCTGTAAACGTACAATCCCATTCAATCCAACCTTCTATCATTACACCGATATACTTAACTCTGGCACATACCAAGCACAAACACTTCGTACTGCTGACGTACTGCTGTCATGCTACGTAAAGCTAGCCTTATTACCTGGAAAACTATGTGTGGGTTGTAGTATCACTAATATATATATATATATATACCTATATATATATATACATATATATATATATATATATAAAATATATATAA